GAAGGAGTTTCCCCAGGGCTAGGGAATACGGTGAGGCTGGGAAGGGAAACTTGGACTTGGGCCCAAAGTCAGTGTTTTCCCAGTCTGTTGGCAAAGGGATTTTTGCCGGAGTGGGCAGTGGAACTGCCCGGAAAGTTTAAGTTAGGGCAGGCAGGAGGATTTCGGGTTTCTTGTTGGCCAGGTGCGGCCGGAGAGGGGGGGACGCCTCCCGCTTGAAACTCTGTGTTTCTGCCTGAACCTGGTAGTGTCTGGATTAGACACAAGGTCTGCGGTGTGTGTGTGGCTGTGAGTTCTAGGTTAGATTTGTCGTTTTCCTCGTGTGTTGTTTGTTAACATGGGATGTACACAAGCTAAAGAGGAAATTCCAGAGGGAACCCCTCTTGCTTTGGTTTTACGGTATTGGGATGATTTAACTGGCCCTGAGACATCTTTAAAAAGGCGGGAGGTAGTTAGACTCTCTATGGATGTTTGGCCCTATACCGGGAAAATTAGAGGAATAACCTGGCCGAAATTTGGCTCTTTTGAGGCAAATACAGTGTTTCATCTTATGACAATCCTTCATAAGGAGGAAATGTGGTCAGAATTGCATTATGCAGAATTATTCTATCTTTTCTTAACCCGTCCAAAATTGAGAAAGGTATATAAAAAGGACAAAGTTAAAATAGAAGCAGAACACACAGAAATGGTATTAGAGGAGAAAAAGAAAAAGAAAAATCGTGCTAAGCATGATCCTGAGGAGGAAACTAATCTTGAAAGCCCTGGAGATGAAAATCTGGACCTTTTAATTCCCCCAAATATGAGAATAGGAAGCGCACCCCCCCCTTTGGCTCAGGCTGCGGGCGCAGCAGGCGTAAGTCCATCAGGAGCGGGGGTAGCACCTGGGGCGGGTCCTGCCAGCTCGGCAGGGACGGCTGGATCTGCGGTGCCGTGTCCAGTTGCTTCGGGGGCCTCGGGGGCAACGGTGGGACAAGCTGGGACTGCTCCGGGAGAAGCGGGGGTCCTGGGAACTGCTGTTGGTGCTCCGGGACCCGCGGGGCTGGGGCCGGCTGCTCCGGCCGGCACGGGAGCGGCAGGAGCCCGGGCAGCCTCTGCCCCGGCTGTGCCGGGAATTCTAGCACCGGCCAGACCGGCGGTAGCCCCTCCCAGAGCTGCGGAACCAGCCCCTGTCGAGGCCGCAGGGCCGGTCCTGTCTGAAGCTGCGAGCTCCCTGGGTGTCGGTGATCGGGGAGCGATGGTCCCTCCCGAGGCTGTGGGGCTGATCCCGTCTGGAGCTGCGGGCTCTGCCAGTGTCGGGGTGGGGCGATAGCCTCCCCCTGGACTGCGGGGCCGTTCCTGGCCGGGGCTGCAGGCCCTTTTGGTTACGGGGGGGCGGTAGCGCCTCCCTGGGCTGTGGGGCCAGTCCTGGCTGGAGCCGCGGGCTCTGCCGGTAGCGGCGCGGGGGCGGCGGTCCCCGCCAGGGCCGCTACAGACAGCGCGGGCTCAGTTGCTGTGGGAACAGAAGGCTCAGACCTCAAGGCTGCGGGAGGAGGAGCGGGGGCAGTGTCTGCAGCCGGGGTCCCTGCCCCGGTTGACACGGGACCCTCCAGCTCTGCCATGAGGGGCGGGGACGAACCTGCCCCCATCCCTTCGGCACCACCCTATCCTACGGGGAAAGGGAGGGACCAAGGTTTAGAATTACAGCATCGGAAGAGGAGCAGATTAAAGTTTACTGATACAGGCACAAAAGTTTCTAATGATATGTTCTTAATTAAATTCTGTAAAGGGGGGAGAATAAAAGTTATCATCCCTAACACTAAATATATCGAGGTAGCTACCTTTTTCATACAGGAGAACCACGGAGAGATCCCTGCAGAGGTTGAGAATACTGTAACCCCTTTAATGTGGACTAACAAATATCCTGGGAAGTCCAAGCGAGCAGAACCCGTAAGCATCACGCTCAAGCCAGAAACAACACCGGCTCTACTTTACCTTTCCAAGTCCTACTGACTTCCCTCACTGCCGTCAAAGTTACCGACAAAGGACCCTAGTTTCATTACTCCAGAGTGAAGAAAGTTTCAGTTCCTGGAACTATCAGCAAATCAGAACCCAACTCAGACGAAGAGGATGTGGCATAGACTGTTTCTGCTGTACATACTATTTGTACAGTCGGTAACTATGAATTAAGTTTGGAGCCTAATTTACATTTGGTTTAGTAAAATGCACTTAATATTCTTTGTGAAAGTGAGTGCTAAATTTGCACTATGAATTTGGCTGCAATTCAGAACCAAACCAAAATTCTACATCAGGTATCTCTGGACAATGTCTCATTGGGTTTGGGAGACACTCTCCACAAACTTACTTCATGGTTACCGAACTGGACCTGGATTAAACAACTGTTTCTATTGGTAATATACATAGTTAGTGTTTGTGTAATAGCTTATTGCATGAACCAATGTTGTAGATGTTGCTCATCTTTTTGGAAAGTGATTAGAAGTAAGTAGTAGAGATTGGACAAAATTTTTGAGTTTTGTCCAGTCTCTAAAGGGGGGACTGATACCTTGGAGTTTTGATGTTTTAATTTTTTTATTTTTGTAGACCTTAGAAGTAGTTATGTAGTAAATGTAGATTTTAGAGTAGCAGCATATTATCCCTTTACCCTTAACACACCAGCTCAAACCCCTGTTACCCATTCCCATATCAATTCCCTAAATTCCATAGCCTGTTTAGTCTCTTTTTCAAGGTAGAATTGTAGAAGAACACCCTAACCCTACGGAACAAGATATAGCCATAGACCCAACAACCTTCAGGCCTAGAATTCTGGAAGGCCTCCAAGGACATTACGTGCTCTGAGAAAGATGAAGATGAAGAAGAGGGGGTCCCGAAACGCCCCCAGACCCAATTCCCAAGAGGCGTGGCGGGGGCAGAACCTGGGTGGTAACAGAACGGGGATTGGGCAAAAATCATTATAAAAACTGTGGACATCTGTATTTCGGGAGCGCGCGCGCGCGCGCTGGGGGTATTCCAGAAAGCCTGGGGGCTCATTAAAACTTTTGTATCCTTATCTTATCTCCTACCTAATTTGGCTTAGAATCTTTTTTTCCCCACAGCCATTTAGGCAACAGTATCCACCAGCCAGCTGAGGGGGCTGAGACACGCAGCTGGATGGAGACTGCTGGCTCTGCAGTTGAATTAGACACTGTGTTAAGCAGCTGCTCTCCTGATTTGCCTCCAGACTCTTTCAGTGCTGTTGTTCACACCTATTTGTGCCTGGTTAGATAGGTCTTGTCTGCACAGAAGTTTGATATATGACAACATTACAGAGGACTTTGCCACGATTTACAGCCTCTCCCTGGTGCTTTGTCCAGTCCACTGCTACCCTGCTATTGCCTCTCACATAGGACTTGCAGCATCCCTGCTGCTCTGCCCACCCAGCCTGAGATTCAGTTCTTCCCTTTTTCTCTCCGTGTTAGCTCTCTTTTTGTCCTTTAATGATGGATTTTGCAAACCTGCTGGCTCCTCTTCCTCGGGGGGACATGTGCCACCTCTTGCTTCCTCTTAAATGTCATAAACGCTTTGAATTGGATTTTACCCAAGCAGAAAAAAAAAAGCATTTGGAGGGCTTTCCGTCAGCAGTATATAAATAAAAACGGATCAGAATAGACTGGATTGTTGCTTCTTACATCCGCTTCCCCATTTTGTTTTTGACAGGTCCTGACACCCACACACACACACAGGCTGCTTGCTCAGACTCGGCTAGATCTGCTTATCTGTCTGTTTTGAGTTTTTGGCAGGCTTTTCCACTCTTACCCTGGTCCTTAGCGCTCACTTCGTGCTCTCCATATTCATGGGTCGTACCAGGCCGATCATTAAAGCACCGCAGGGCAAACCCTGCACCCTCCTGCGGGCTCTGAATCGGGGGAGCTGCTGCTGCTGCTGCCTCCTGATCTCCTTTGCGTCTCCACCGGGCCCAACATCCCCCCCCCTTCAGTCCCTGCTTCCCACTGCAAAGGAGGGGAACCGAGCAAACAATCTGCAACAGGTAATTTATGTAACGAATTTACCCTTTTCCCCTGAGCTGAATATGCATGAGTGGGTCCTGATGTGTTCAAGTGCATCCACTGTTCGAAGAGGCTTGCCTCATTTTCTCCCCCTGTGCGCTGCTTTTAATGCTACATATCAATCACGAGTGTTCCCTGGTGCACCCAAAAGCTGGTATTTGCTATTCAAATAGTGTTGAATTGTACCTGTTCACTTAAGTTTTGAGAAATTGTTTCTGATCCTGGAGCGGATGGGTATGCAAATACCTCTGTCACGCGTAGCACATGCTCCTTTAAAATGTGGGGTGTGTGTTTACAGACGCTGCGCTCTTGGTAATTCACTTTTCGAGAGCTTTTGTGCCGGGAGATCCCGGCTGCTTGAAAGAGGAGCGTGAAAAGCAACGCAAGACGGAACCAGCAGAGCGCACTTAAAAAATTCCCCGTTTGGGAAGTCAAGTTTTTAAATGGCTCGACTCCATAAACGCGAGCACCGGAGAGAAAATGAGTCAAGAGTCCCCCTCTGGCTCGCTGTGCTGTGCCAGGAACGGGGAAGCGCAAAATGCAGGAACGGGGCTGAACGTGGCAACGACAAAGCGGTGACGGGATAGGAGGGCACAGCGCGAAGCTGAGCCGGGGGAGGCCCGGGCTGGGCATCGCACAGAGGGCGAGCAGAGGCGCCGGGGCTCCAGGAGCGTCTGGGCGCTGCTCCGAGGCCCGCGGTGCCGATCCCTGCGTGTCCCTCGCACGTTCGGGACATTCATTCCCGCGCTCATTCCCGCCCTCATTCCCGGATTCCCTCCCGCGCTGTGACCGCGGCCCGCCCGGGCCGGGCGGAAGTGACGCGCGCGGCTGAGGGCGGAAGCGGCGCGGGGCGCGGGGCGTGGCCGGCGCGCGGCAGGTGAGGGGCAGCGCGGGGCAGCGCGGGGAGGGCGCGCGCGGGGTGGGCGGAGCCGCGCCCTGCGCCCCTCAGAGCCCCGGGCCGGGGGGACACGGCGGGACAGCGGGACACGGCGGGACACGGCGGGACAGAGCCCTCCGGAGAGCACCCCCGGCTCCCGTGGGGACAGCCCCCCCCCACCCCGCCGGGGCAGCGGCCTGTCCCGTGTGGGGGCCGCCGGCGCTGCCCGGCGGGAACCCCGGGAGCCCTGGGGAAGGCGAGCTTGGTGGTGTGGAATGAGAGCCACGCAGCGCCTGTTCGGGTAGGACGGCAGGGCTGGGAAGGGGTTTGTTGCGGTTTTCTTATCCCCGGGGTGCATTAGGAACAGCATTGCCAGCAGGCTGAGGCAATAATGTCCCAGTGCTCCTGTTTCCTGCCCCTCTGCCCAGCCCTGGTGAGGCCACGTCTGCAGTGCTGTGTCCAGGTCTGGGCTCCTCAGGACGAGAGAGACGTGGAGCTACTGGAGCAGGTCCATTGCAGGGCAGCAAAGATGATTGAGGGACCAGAGCATCGCTGTTAACGAGGAAAGGCTGACGGAACTGTGCCTGTTCAGGCTCAAGAAGAGCAGACTGAGGGGGGCCCTCCTCAGTGTTTGTCAGTATCTGAAGGAGTGCCAGGAGGACAGAGCCAGGCACTGCTTGGTGATGCCGAGCAGTAGAACAAGAGGCAATGGCAGAAACTGATGCACAGGAAGTTCCACCTGAACAGGAGGAAGAACTTTACTGTGCAGTGACGGTGCACTGGAACAGATTGCCCAGAGAGGTTGTGGAGTCTCTCTCACTGGATAATCCAGAACCATCTGGACACAGTCCTGTGCCATGTGCTCTGGGATGGCCCTGCCTGAGCAGCGAGGTTGGAGCAGATGACCCCACTGTGGTCCCTTCCAGCCTGACCCATTCTGTGATTCTTACACTGTGCTTTGATGCTGAGCATCGAAGATTGGGAAACCTGCCAGGCATGCGTGGAGCATGAAAACCTTGAGCTGGCAGGGACACGCAGGGCTCTTGGGCTCCACAGAGCGCTCTGGGGAACGGTCAGGGCCATGCCTTTTCTCCATGTAGATCAGGTACCTTGTAGGAGTGGACAGGAGATGCTGCAGCCTCATTGTCAGTGAACCCCAAGTGAACCCCAATGCTGTTGTGATAATTACATTTATTGTATTAATCTTTTTCTATGTTAAAAATAAAGAATGAGTTGGCCAACAGTAAAAGGACCACAGGGCTGCTAGACCTTGCTGTACACATGAAGAAAGGCTGCTGACGGACACAGGGAACATTTTTGATCCACATCCAGCAGTGATGGTCATTGTTAGTATCTGTTTTTAGTCTAGTGTCTATTTTAGTAATCAGTGGAAGTCCTGTGATAAGCTTCCCCCCCCCCTTTTGTTGTGTTTGTTTTTGTTTGTTTTGTTGTTGTTTTTTCCTGTTGTTTCCTTATTTAATGTTGTGGTTCAGGTGTTGAGTGGTTGAACAGCACCTGGATTTTCCCAAAGGCCTCTTTCCGAAGAGGAGGCTAATTCTTGACTCTGCTCACTTCTGCAGCGCAGCTTCCAACAAGGCGTGTGGGATAATGCCAACTGTGGTTGCAGCATTTCACGTGACTCAGGCAAATGTCAGCCGGGGCTTTGCCTGAGCTGACCTATTCATTTCCTTTGGGCTGTGTGGCGGCTGTTGCTGGCAGTGATTTCCAGGCTGAGCTGAGCTGACCTGTCCTGGGGTAGATGAGGGAGAAGCTGAAACTGCCCCTCTTTCTTGCCAGTTCTCTCAAATGTGGAGCCTTCCCTGAGCGGTGAGAGGAAGCGGAGCGGATAGTGCTGCTCCTGCCAGAGGCAAGGGCTGGAAGCAGAGTGACTTTGGCACGTCCTTTAGAGGCTTTCTGCTTGGCAGTTTGCTGGGGAATCAGACAGTCAACTTAGCAAGTCCCTTGCTTAGACTTTGTTTTAGGAAGGTTGCCTGATAAGTTCTCCTGATATTTCATTATGTTTGTCTTGTCTGAGTAGTAAAGCTGGGATGTAGAGGCTGCCTGATACACCTCTGTATTTCTGGGATGTTTTGGGGGTTGGGGGGGGCAGAGGGAATAGCCACATCTCCAGAGCCCTGAGGCAGAAAAATGCCTGAGGCACTTCCAGAGCAGCACAGGCTGCTTGACTTAGCATCAGCCCTTCTTCTATCACTCTGGATATTTTAACTGAGTTTTAAGTCTTCATTCCTTCAGATAAAAAGTGCTGTTCTCTTCTTTCAACTCAGGAGTTAATTGGCCAGAAAACTGAAAGCAGATAATTTCTGGGAACTGCTTTGCAGTCTGGCTTCTGGGTTCTGGTAATACCAATCGCTGCAGGCTCAGCCTGGGCAGTGAAACAGAAAGATAGAAATTGAGGGCTGGGGAGAAATAATCCTGAAAACAAGGCAGATTTCTTTTTTTATAACATTCATTAGATTAAAGGTAATGTGCAGAGGAAGAAGAGGATTATGTCTGAAACTGTTATGTTTCCCATGGATGTGGTGTAGGAGCTTGAAGGGAATAATTTTTATCACGCAAAAAAGCAATTTCTGTAGCTAATCAGCTCTGCTCAGACCCCTTCACAAGGTAACCTTTACCAGATAGTCCATCCAAGTGTCATTTTTTTGACCCAGCTTTTCATCAGCTCCTGTCATCCAGGCCACGGTGTAGGGATATTCCTCCCAGTGAATGTGAACAGGCTTGAAGACATTCCTTATATAATAAGTTTCCTTCCTGTCTTCTTCCAGAAGTGCAAACATTCCTTTTTGCTTTTGAATGCCTAAAACGGGCAGGAACTGCTTTGGTTACCAGTTTGATTTGGTTGTTTCCTTCATTAAAGGGTTCATTGTAACACTGTGTGTGGGGTCTGGGGGCTGTAAAACTCCAGAACTTTGGAGCAAAGGGTTCTGAAGCTGGAGGTGGAAAACAGGACATTGCGAGTTAGGGTTCATGGCAGAGAGATGTGGCAGTGGTTATATCTGCAGCTAAGGTCCCTCTGCAGGAGGCTGAAATTAGAGGAAAAAATTAACTTTGTTTGTTTGTTTGTTTGTTTAGAAGTGTTGTGTTTTTGGAAATAAGTATTTCTTGCTGCAGTCTCTTAGCAAGAATGAGAAGCTCCGAATGTTCTGCAGGAGGCTCTGCAGCAGCGTTCCAGCTACCCTGTGTTTGGAACTCCAGTGTTTAAGAGAACTTATTGCAGGGAAACGACCCTCCAGGGGACTTTTGGCATAACCAGTGGCTCCTGTGTACTTCAGGCATACATAACCAAAGTGGCCCGTTTAGGAAATCGAGGGAAGAGCTCTGTCTGGATGTTTGGGATGGGATTCTCAGCTTTGCTTTTTGTGTCTGTATTGTAGCTGTAGCTTGGCTATTTGTTTAGTCTTCTTTTATAATAAATAGTGAGAGGAAGGGAAGGCAGGCATTTAGCAGAGTGTTTGTGGTCAGTGGTAGATGGCTTAGAATCAGATCAATTGTTCATTAGAGCATCTGATTGTCTCCATTAGTGGTGAGAGCCAAAGGTGACAGTAGCAGAGGGGATTATCTGATTAACTTTAGATATAAACATCTGTCCATCAAAATGAGCTTTATGTATCCAGCTGGAAGAAATAATTTTCAGCCTGTGCTTAGAGGACAGGGCTTTCTCAGCAAGGTGATGCAGCTCAGTGCCTCGTGGCAGTGAGGGATGCTGCCTGTGCTTCACAAAGCAGAGCTCTGCCTTGAAAGGATTGTCCTGGGGACAGAAGTGCCTTAGAGGCAGTCTTAGCTTATGGAGCTGAGAGGATTGAAGTGCACTTCTAAATTCTTTTAAGTCTCTACCTTTCAGATTCTCTTAAAAATTTAATGTAATAGCATTCTATCTTCTGGAGAGTCAATATCATTTGATTATACTTGATCCATCTTTAAATGTCAGGTATTTTGCAGTTTGCCAGTGAGTTGCCACGTGCTATTGTAAAGCTGGGCTCTGAGATCTCAAATTTTGATTCTTTCTCTTAAGCCTAAGTGGAGTAGGAATTTGTATGTGACAAACCAGCAAATCTAAGTGGGTCTGAGGAGATTTTAGGGAAAGTGGGAGTCTCCATTTGAGAATGATCATAAAGTCTGTTGTGTTGGTTCAGGCCAACACTCACAAGATCCAAGAGGTAATGCTGCTTGTGGGAAGACATCCAGTTCATGTGCCTTTAGTTCCCTGTCCATAATGTCATTGCTTTAATGTCATATTGCTGGTAGATTTCATTTGCTTTTAGTAGCTGTGATAGCTGCTGTTTCTTTCAAAGCAAAGTGTCTGAGCCAAAGGTGTCAGCAGGCTCTGGATTCTTTAGAAGGGGCTGCCTTAAATACTATTTTCAGAAGTAGGTTATTGACAAGCCAATGCTTTTCCTTTGATAGCTCTGATAACTCAGGAGGGATCACATACAGATAATATTTTATTCCAGAAGCAGCAGGACAGGACAAAGGGTGTTTGTTGGTCTCTGACACAGCCTGTGGTCCAGGGAGACATGTTCCTCTCAGGCCCCTAGTTTACAGAAGCTCTTGTCAGTAAGCTACTCTTTTGTTGCAAAGCAGCCTGTTTATTGTGTTCCCTCTGCAACTTGAGGAATTAACTGGGGAAAAATAAAACTTTTGTGGTTTCAGATGCAAGCTTCATATCAGAGCCTCTCTTGCTGTTTCCAAAAGGGAGTATCTTCATTACCTTAATACTTTTTTCTAGTGCAGTGTTGGCAGTCAGTAGGCTGAGTGAAACACATACTTCAAATGGAGTGGACCTGGAGTACCTTTCATGCAGATCCCACGGTATGTTGGGTTGAACTAAGTGGCTGTCCATGGATGCAGCTAAGGAAAAGGCACCTGCACTGTAGCTGACATCATGGTGCAACAGGATGTTCTTGTGGTACCCAGATGTGTGAGGTTCTGCATATATGGTAAGTGCCAGTAATTCCACACTGTTTGGATATGGGGAAGCTATGGTGGTGTATCACTGGGCAGTTAGTGCAGCAGAAAAAGGTTTTTCTTTTCCTGTAGCTGCTACTGGGACAGCTAAGGTGAGATTGCTTTGGTGGTGGAATACTGTAAGGATAGGCTGAAAGTGTGAGGTTGAGTAAGTGTCTCTCTAAAGGTAGAGCAGAGGAGCAAGAAATGGCTTTTACAGCTATGGCTAAGTTGATGTTGTGATATAGATGTGGCCATAATGTGCTCTTGCTGCTGAGAGGGAGGGAGAGAGATGGCTCCTAAAGCTTTCCAGTTTCCTGCACCCGTTGCCAGTCT